GGAACTAAATTTGTATACAAAAAATATGTCAGCACAAATCTAAAATCAAACAGAAAGTTCAGAAGAAAGGTACCACCGATCAAACGAACCATATGGTAGCGAAGAAGACTTTTGGATCGAATGACTAGAAGAACGTGGCAGAGAATTTCCCACAGGATGACGATAGACTTTCAAACCGATCGACAAGTGTCGATGGATTCTAAGAGGGGGAGCGATTGACGAACTTATTACTGACCAAATCCATCCTCCAGTCTTATTATATTCAAGTATCTCTGTAACTACTAAAAAGCCCCCTTTAAGGTAAAGATGAGGGGAGTGATCTATAATTTTGTACGACTGAGTCCTATTCATATCATGAATAAAGGATCATGCACTTTTTATTGTTCTCTAATATACTTCTCCTCACCTCTTCTTGCTAAGAAGTTCTATGCCTTGAGCGTGTTTCCCAAACACTTGATGATTCAATACTAAGATATGTAATTTTGATGTTCGCTTATAACTAAATTGTAACTAACTACTAAATTTCTATCCATTCATAATAAATGATTTAAACCGAATTAAATTTTGATTTGAGGGATTTTTATTTATCAATTTTGATGGTTCAATTTAATAATTTTCAGATTTTAGTTGCAATTGATTTGATCAATTTGAAAACCAACTCATCCAAACTGATCAAATGCTCCCTCTTAATGAAGAGAAAAAAACTACATAGCAATGACATTATTATTATTATTATTATTATTATTATTATTATTATTATTATTATTAAATTAGTTAATTTTATTTATAATATTCTCAAATAAATAAAAATTTTATAAATTCATATTCAAAATATTATTTGTTGAGGGTCAAATCAATATAGAGTTATTTATAATTTTCAATTAATTTAGTATCTTCATTCATAAGTGTGGACCAAATTTTGATCCCTCCATCTCCTACCAAGCACATGCACCTAACCCTATCTTGACTACTCTCATTCTAGCTTAACGTATAAAACAAGAACCACTTTTTTGACCTAATCTATCTATGTGTGTGTGTGTGTGTGTGTGTGTGTGTGTGTGTGTGTGTGTGTGTGTGTGTGTGTGTGTACTTTAAAGGAAAAAAGATTATAATACTAATAATGATAATAATAATAATAATATTATTATTAATAACAATATTAATAGAAAAAAGAGCAATAATAATAATAATTATTATTATTATTATTATTATTTGCTTTTTCTTTTTTACCAAGTGTCAGAATTAAAAATAAATTAAACTAGTGCTTTTGTCAAAATTGGCTTTTGAAATATCAATTGTGTCGTTTCTAAAATATGTTTTAAATAATTGATGCTATATTAAGATATTATTTAATTAGATGGATTCTAAAAATTTCGTCTTTTTTTTATTATAATCCCTATAAATATAGTTGATATGTAATGATTTATTTCATTTATTGACTGAATTATTATTGTCTCTTTTACTTAGTGCTTGTTGATTTCATGTGTTTTATTTCTCTTTGGTAAAATTGAATATCTATTCTTCTTATTTTTTAATTTTGTTTCATATTATCTTAAATCTTACTCTCAACCTTATTAATATTTGTTCACTATTTTTTAAAATGATAAAATACCTTCCACTACTAAGCCCAAGCCCTTAAAACTACTCAAAAACTTCTACTTAGAAGCTATACAAAATTAGAACTTAGCCTTGTTATCTACCTATTGATGCCCACATAAACTCCTTTAAATGTAAAAATCTATTCCAAATCATAATTGCACATCTTAAGGCAACCACCCATAAAAAAATCCAGTCATTTACCTTGCCTTGATCCACTTATGTAAAAAGGACTTCCTAATGATCTCAATTTAGCCTAACCTAGACTAGTATAGTCCAATCACCATACCACATAAGGCCCTTATCTTATGTTTAGATATTATACTAAGAATGCATGGCCTTTACTGTCCTTTAGTCTCACTAAAAGGTCCTCTAGAACCATCACATTTTGTATCAGAGCGAATCTGGGAAGGAGTAGAACCGGTCAAATTTTGAATAGTTAAGAAGGATTACTTTAGGTGGACTTGCTATTTATATGCTTGATGGTAACTTGAAAAAGTTTGAGGTTAATTAATATTTTTGTGATAATTTATGTTACACTAAGGGAATATACATGATTATCGACTAAAAAATCAACTGATAATCTTATGATTTTCTGTCAGGAACCATGTTTACAGATTGAAAAAGCTCCGCCTCAAAAATCTTCATCACAATTCACAAACAGTTTTTCAGTTAAGAATGGTTGATGTCAATTTTACTTTTGATTTGCATCTGATTTTTCAACCGCAAAGTACTTTCTGGCTAAATTAATCTGCTACCAAAAAAAACGTTAGATTGTGCTGCTAAAATATTATGTCGCTTTATTAAGTCTAATTTGTGACTGAATGGTCTAGCCATTTCCATACAATAAGAGATAATTTGCAACTGAATTTTCACTAATTGCTAGAAAAAAAATTCAACATTAAATCAGCCACTAATCTATGCAAAAAAATTAAAAAAAATCAAAAGTCGTCAAAATTTTTACACCTTCATCAAAATACAATCCAGAGAATCATGACACAATTCAAAGTTCATAGTACTCAACACAAGAATCAACTATATCGTACGACTTAATGAATGAATATATACAACAACAAAAAATATCAGAAATATTTCAAATAACCTAACAAATCATCCAAGGCAATAGTTCCTAAAATATTGGTGACATGCATATAATGTAAAATACAAACATGAAAGTACTACTAAGTCATCCTAATGCCCATGCTCTTCATGTATGTTGCTTAGAGGTTGGTTGCCAAGACAATGTACGTCGCACTGCAGCTGTTCAAGGGTTTTCTCGAGCCTCTTGGCCCCAACATTCCTGACACACAACTTAGTGTTGAAGCTCTTATGTAACTCCACAATGAGTGTAGAGACATACCTGACAACTTTGTCATCAACCGCTAATGTTGAATTCTGATGCTAACCTCGTAAACCTTCTCATTGTTCTTCCCTGTTGTGATCAAATAATGTCTCTTCTTAGGTAACTTCGACACTCCAAACGCGCTCGCACAATCTATTTTATGATCCGACATCGTTTTGACAGCTTCAATGGTGTTTGAAGTGAGTCAGTCATGAATTGTGAGACATCGTATTCATTATTCGTCATTCTCCCTATGTCTGATCGACTCAATTTATAAAATTTATCTCGAGGTCAATAATCCCTTTAATTAGGAAGGCAATACTACAAGAGATTGAGATATTCATAATTCGCTCGACGTCTGATATCACAAAGAGTGTTGGAGAGAAAGAAACGATTAGATGATGATGATGATGATGATGATGATCAAGCAATGACAGTGACAACTAGGTGATGATGGTCTTGTAATGGTGATGGAGGTTGAGTGATACTTATCTGTCAATATTGACAATGGCTTTATGACGAGTCTCTAATGACGAATGTGACAAACAACCAACAATGGGTCTTGTACTGATTAATCGAGCTTTCATTTCGGTAAATTGAGCAGTTTCAATACTCTTTTCTTTAAACTTTTGATTAATTTTAGTCGTATATTTTAAATACTATAAATTATTTTTAAAATATTTTTTAATAAGCTTTTAATTTGGGTAAATTATGATTAATTTTATAGTAAGCTTTTAATAATATTTATTTGGAAACTTAATTAAAAGGAACGGACTCCATTAAAATCACAATAAATTATGTAAGCTTTGTTTAGCTGCCTAAAATAAACCGAATGGGATGAGTTATTGCAATGATAATACTCTGAAAAAAATAAATTATAAATAAATGAATAAAGTCCTACTCGTGTAATTTTATAAGCTTTTATGTCACATTTCAGTTACATTCTTACCTTTCCATATGGTCTATATAAAGTATGGATCATATCATAAAACTTAGTTTGATTATAGATCAAATATGGTTGATCACTGACTTATGTGAGAGGATCTTTTTGAAGCATGTTCTTAAAAATACCTTTTTTTTTCATGTATTTATATTCAAGGATTAAAAAATGCAAGATATAAGCTATAGAGGAGGTACTTTATTTGTAGGCAATATGCTAATACTCATGTTTATCTATGCACATATAAAATAATACAGCTATAAGATATGATTTATTATTTAACTGACATAATACTTTATGATAATGATTACTAATAAATTTTACTAAAAAATAATCATTTTATATAAGCAATAAAATAGATTTTAACCAAAAAAATTAGGCATCTTAATTTCTTAAGAAACAACTTGATATGTCAAGGAATATTTTCGTGTTTTTAATGTGTTATTCATGAATAACACTTCAATAACACATGAATAACGCGAAAAATATTCAGAATAACATGAAGGGAATATTTCTATAACGCAGTCGAGCCAGGTCAAGCTTTTTTAATGTGTTATTTGTGTGTTATTCATGTTTTATTGTTGTGTTATTGAAGTAATATTTTTCGTGTTATTTATGAGTTATTAGTATTATTGTTTAAAGAACAATAAAATCTCAAAATCAACTCAATAGCACATCAATAACACATGAATAACACGAAAAAAATTCAGAATAACGCGAAGGGGATATTCCTATAACACGGCGCATTTTATTTTTTTTTTATTTTTTATGGAGATGGGCCCTGACTTTCCGCGTGTAAGCTCGAGATTAGACTCTTCAAGTAACTCTATATGCTATGCAGAGTCCTCCATTTACATTCATACCACTGAGTTTCTATGTATTTACATAACCAAAATCTAAACTTTAATTTTTTTACATTTATATCACCCAAAGTTCTTCATATCAAATAAAAAATATCATAATTTTAATTTTTTTAAAAAAATTGAAAAACCATTAATATATTTAAAATTAAGTGGTAAATATGTAAATATATAAGACTCAAGTGGCATGTATGAAAACCGTCCTTTCATTCTGATTAAAGCCGTTCTAATGCGAAGCGAGACAAAGGCAGTAACGATTTAAGAGAATTATTAAAGACATGTTTGAATGCGAAAAAACTCCATCAGTTCAAGGCTAAACATTGATCCATGAATTCTAAAAAGTTTGGATTTTTAATCGAAAAGAAATACTTTTGGAACAGAAGAAAAGAAACATTCAACGCAGAGTTTTACCAGGAATTCTCCTCAGTTTTCCTTCTTTGATTCGTCATCTTCTTCCTCCGTCAGTCCTAAAAAAAAGGAGCCATTTTTTTTTTCTGTTAAGAGAAAAAAAACTCATCTTTGGTAGAGAATATAATAGCAGGATTTGCAACTGCTTTCTTTCCCATTTATTATAGCGAACGACTCTCTCTCTCTCTCTCTCTTTCTCTCTTTCTCTCTCTCTCTCTGTATTTGTGTGTTCAACGCATCAATACCCATCTTCCCTATAAAACCCTGGTGCAGGCAGAGGGTTCGAAAGCTCATAAAAACTGAGAAGAAAAGGCGAGAAGATCTGCAACTGAAAGGAAAGAGGTGAAGTTCTCTTGTTTCACCCAAGAGCTGAATTGAGGGGTGCTTGTGAAAGAAGTGAGGAATAAGCATCCATGGCTGCGGTGGCTGCAAGCGGGATCAGCTCCGAGAATCAGTTCATCCATTGCCAGCCGGCGCCTGGCAATCAGGAAGCAGAATATCAGAGAGACGTGAGGAAGCTTGTGGATCTTCTCTCCAAACTGAATCCATTGGCTAAAGAGTTCTTCCCGTCTTCTTACGCTGCAACTAGGGCTCAAACCGACGGCGGCCTCTCCGCCGATGCGCCGGTTTTTGTTGGCTCAAACGATTGCTGCAACAAAACCGACGGGGATGGTAATAATGATTCCGGTGGCGATGGATCTTCACACTATCAGCCATTGAATCGGAGGGTACAGTTCCATTGTTTGCCCACTTCGATCTTACTTTTAAATCAGCTGAAGGAATTTGTTTTATGATGAATCAAACATTTTAGGAAGTTTGCTGCATCTGTGATTCATGTTCTTATTTGAAGTTCTTTTGATTTTAACAGAAGACAAATGGATATAACCTAGGAAGGAAGAGGATGAATGATAGGGTGAGAAGAGCTGAACGAGAGGAAAGCATTAGGAGAACTGTATATGTTTCTGATATTGATCATCATGTGAGTCACATCAAGAGATTGCTCTTATTAGTTGTGGATTGTTTTTTTGCATCAGTTAAAGAGTTTTACTTACTGATTTATACTGTAATCATAATTTCTTTCTTGTGGTGGATTGATCAGATCACAGAAGAGCAACTTGCTGAATTATTTACAAGCTGTGGGCAAGTAAGCTCTCAAACTTCAATCTAAGTTATGTCATCTGTTTAAATTGTGCTAATTGAGCTTCATCTTTAAATCTTCTTTTTTTTTCATGTTTTGTTCTGTTCAGGCATCTTGCTTAACTTTCATGTTATAGAACTGATTAGTGTAAAAATCAGTATATTTTAAAACAGTGTCTGGGATTAAGCAAACATGGCTAGGGAACCAGGGCTGGATCACCTGATCTTCCTAGTGATCTACGGTCAGGATATATTTCAGTTTTTTTTTTTTTTTTAAATAAAAATTTTAGATGGGGCCCACCGAAATAATCATGACCGTAGATCACCTCAGGATCGGCACCGTATGCAGAGATGCATGCGGTGTCCGTCCGTATGGAATAATTTTTCCTGGAGCTGAGCACTACGGTCTCATCTGAGTGAAGTGAGACAGTAAAAGGAATTAGTTATTTCAATCGGTTAACTTTTTCTATATTATGAGAAGTAGTTTTTGCATAGGATAATTTAGAAATTATCTCAATAAACTATGCTGTGCGATATAAGGATTTTTTTAATGATTTTTTACATTGTTAAGTTCTGAAATCTTCCTAAATTGATCAATTTCTAAGAAGTACCGTAAAATGGTTTTAAATAAGTTGGTAATTAAGCTACCGAAACTTTAGCTTAGGAATAATCTATTTATTTCATCATTATTGTTCATGCTCTTTACCATTAGTGGATTAGTAAACCTCCATATGTTTTTCTAACTCCTTGAACATGTCCTCATCGCACTTAAGCTTTATTATTTCTTAATTTGAACCTTTGCATCTACATCTGAGCTCGATTATTTCCTGATTTTTATCTTTGATTGTTTCTTTTAACAGTATGAAGCAATAGGTGATAGAGTCAAGGTATTGGTGCAATTTTTAGTTTATAAACACAAAAATACCTATCTTGTTGAAGTAAAGCTGCATCCCAACAAGAAGTGGAAGTGAAGTGTCAACATGGGAAAAATGTGTCACAAAGTAAGACATGAAAGAGACGAGAAAACACAAGACAGATGACATTAAAATCTATGTTGTTCAATTTTAACAAAGATTTCATCCACAGGAGAGACGATCTAATCTTTTAAATTGAAGCTTATCAAGTGTCAGACACTAAGAGCTCGCTTAAACACTTGGTGGCATTATAAGAGTCTAGAATTTCGCTCAACCATTGTAGAACTCATAAAAAATCATGGAAGTTACTAATCACATGAACCACTCAATTTTGGACAATTATTTTCTATGATATAATATGTTAGGGAGTGAACTGAAGAAGGATCAAAGTTGGGTCAAACAAACCATTAATCAAAACCATTTTCAACCCAAAAAATTAAGTCCATGTAAAAGCCAACCATTTAATGTGGGACTATACTTAATGGTTCGCCTATCCCAACAACTATAAATACAAATTGCCTACTGTAATTCAAACATTTTGATTAATTTTGGAAGCTTCTCGATTGTGTTTGGCTGATCTAAAGAGCTAAAGGTTGGGTAAGTTAATAGCTTTCTGCAAAACTTAAAAGTTGAAGAGTTCGTAACCGAGTTATTTTATATTAACATAGAGCTCAATTTTTTATTGATATGCATTTTGTACATAAAAAATTCAATGGGGGTTAGCTGCACAAATTGTTCTTACATGTTACTCCCATTTTATTCTTAAAAAAGCAGTGCATACATGGGGAATCTCTTACACCTAGAAAATAAATGAAATGCCATACTGCTTGAAACATAAGATATTATTCCAACAAGAAGTTTTTGATAAAATCCAAAGATTAAATTGCAGTTATGGTAAAATTTCCTCATTTTGACAATTTATATTGTTCTACATTGTTGTACATGTTGAAATAATGATAATATTTTAATAGTTACGTTAAACACATTTGAAGGTTTTCTTTTAACATACCAATCCAATCATATATAGACAGCTCTAGGTGTGTCATATCATTTGAATGTATGGTTTTGTCTCATTTAATAATAGTTTTAGTTGCATCCTTAACTTCGATTGATTTGAAATTCTCATGCTGAAGGTAATCGACTGCCGGGTTTGTGGCGACCCCCACTCAGCTCTTCGATTCGCATTTATAGAGTTTGACGATGACGGTAACTTCTAATTCATTTTCATTTGATCAACACTGATTGGTCGCTCTACTCTTCTGCCTATGGTAATAGTTCCTTCAATTTTATAATCAGAGGGGGCGAGGGCAGCTCTCTCTCTTGGAGGGGCCATGCTTGGTTCCCATCTTGCCAGAGTTTTGCCATCAAAAACTGCAATTTTTCCTGTGAATCCTAAATTCCTACCTCGGGTATGGTACTGAATGAAAAATTCCTTCCATATTCTATCGTTTCTCTGCAACTTAGAGTGGTTGAAATATGACAATTTTCGGTTATACCCTCAAATTTCTAGAATAATTCCTTATACCTGAAAGTATTGCAGTCCAACGATGAAAGAGAAATGGTTGTGAGGACTGTGTACTGCACAAATATTGACAGGAAGGTGAGAGGCCTTCTTTTCTTTAAGATATCAGAAGGCATGTAATATAACATTTCTTCTCCATTTGTTTTTTTACAAGTTTGCATTTTTGTACTACTGCAGGTTACTCAGTTAGAAGTAAAACATTTCTTCGAACAAGTGTGTGGAGAGGTCAGTTTTTCTTCTCTTTTCTTATTTCTAATGAGTTCCAAAAGGGCTTTTTGTGAATTTAGGGACTAAATTTCTAGTTATTCTATTCAGGTTTCCCGTTTAAGGCTCCTTGGGGACAACCTGCATTCAACTCGTATAGCATTCGTTGAATTTGTTCAGGTGATTTTTCAGTACATTTGCCGAATTATGTATAAACCTTGGAACTTTTTATGTTAGGCTATATCAATTCATATAATCATGGTTCATTTATATGGTTTTCTGATTTTTACTAGCTTTCTGAATGAATGTTAATTTTATCTCTCCACTAATTTTGACATCCAACAGCAGTAACAACAACAACAACAACAAGCCTTTATCCCACTAAGTGGGGTCCGCTACACGAAGTCTTTTGTGTCCTATTGAGTTTCGTATTTCCGTTTAATTCTAATAAATTAAGATCATTTTTATACAACATGCCCGGGTCTTTTTAGGTCTACCTCTAGCTTTTATTAACATAAGTCAAATCTAAAACATCTACTCAAACATTAGATGGTCGACGTTTAATGCGATGAAACCATCTAGGACAACTCTTTCTAGTCTTGTTTGCCGCTAGAGCTACACCAAACCTTTCACAGATATATTTATTTCACATTTTGTCTCTTAATTGTAAAGCCACCCATCCACCTAAGCATTCTCATCTCAGTAACACTAAGTTTTATGCTTCTCTTTTAACATCACGGCAACACTCAGCCACCTAAACATTTTTAACATCTGAGATTAAAAAAAAATGCTTTGTTACAAATTACAATCCATCCCAATTATTAGTTTTTTAATATATTTTTAATGATTTAAGTATTATTTCTCTTTTCAGGCTGAGAGTGCCATTCTAGCTTTAAACTGTAGTGGTATGTTTCTTGCATCTCTTCCAGTTAGGTAAGTTCTTAAACCATTAATAAAAACACCATTGCAGCTCCGTAAATATATATTCATCTTCTTTCCTCTCTCTCAGGATTAGTCCATCAAAGACGCCGGTGAGGCCCCGAATCCCTCGAGCAGTGTCACAGTAAGCTCATGAACTGATTTGACAACTGAAGAGCTATTGAATTATTATTATCTTAAATGACCTAAGATTAACTTTATTATCATGATCATTTTAGTCTTACGAACATGTTCAAATCTTGCTGCTAGTCTTTTATTCTCATGGCAGATCTTTCTTTTATATGTCATTATGAATTCAGACAGCAAACATTAAGGTGTCTAAAACCTGATGGAACTAAGCTAAGTTTGTAGCAGTTCCATCATTGATATGAGCCAATTATGATTTTTTTTTTTTTTTTATTACTTCCAGTGAGTTGATAGGCTTTCAATCTTTCAGATATTTCACAATATTTTGTTTAGCATTGTAAATCTCTTTTTTTAAATTTAAATGCATTGCAATTCCTTTTTCAGCTAATGAACCATTATAATGTATACGAAAGTATGCATGTAATTGCCCAAAGAAAAGGGATAATTATACGCATAGCACCTTATAATTTATTATGTATAAAATCAGCACCCAAATTATTTTTTTGAATTATTGGAAGTTTATTGTTAATTTCGTTATTTGAGTGAGAATCTGAATAAGGTATGAAGGAGTTAATAGTTTTGTAAATAGCAAAATTATGATTGATATTTAATTGAAACATCAAATATATATATATATATATTATTGAATAATAAAATTTACCGAAGATTTCTTTCTTAAAAGATAAAGAGTATAATGTTTTTTACGGATGTTTCAGGAAAGTGATCTGATAAAACTAAACTCTATAATAAAATCATAACGTACAAATTAAGAAATTAAGAAATTTTTTATTTTTAAAAATAGATAATGTTGAGCATGGATTAACCGTTTTTCTTCAAAATAGGTGTGTGTGTGTCTATATATATATATATATATATTGTACCGACCTATTGGTTGGCATTCATGATATAAGGCCCCTCGGGTGAGGGGGTTCGCCTATTGGTTGGCATTTATGATATAGTCCCTTCAGTCGGGAGTTCGAATCCTCTCTAGCACAGTTGACCTTAGAGAGGGGGTAGTCAAATTGCTAGACAATACATATTATGTCTTTTTTATTGGTCTTCTTTTTGAGATTGTTGTTTTAATGTTATCGGAATAATATCAGTCCGTGAACTACTTTTTACAATCATAGTACATAATACTATTTAAAGAAAATTACAAAAGAAAGACAAAAAAGAGATTTAACAAAGAGAAAAAGTTTAAAAAAAACCTGAAGATGTAGAAAAAGAAGCACCAAAGCTCAATCGAAACCTAATGCTTTAACACATTGAAGTTATTTCTCAAAGATCCATCGAATATCATCAAAATACAACTCCAACCATCAACAATTTAGTCTTCCATAAATGTCGGCATGTCATGTTGTTCCCATATTTTCGTTTACAGAGACCAAAACGACCAATACACCAAAAAAGATCAAGAAAATGTGCCATTTGTGTCTCATATGAGCTATAATACATGAGAGGAAATCATCACAACAACAACAAAAAAAAAACCAAAACCAAAAAAAAAAACAAAACAAAACAAAAAATATGAGCTCCTTCATTGTCATTTGATTCATGCACTTTTAAAGCTATTTGCTTTTCTTATCTTTTTGTGGACACCATTCCAATTCATTGTCTTGCTTTTTATCATGTACAAAAAAGAAATAACAAGTAAATAGAATGATCTGATAAATCTTTTGCCTCAGAGATTCATGCAAACATTTAAGTATTTTATTAAAATTTTTCAAGTCAAAAATAATTATAATTTAATTAGAGTAAATCAATCAAAAATTATGAAAATTTTTTAAGCATATTTGTGATTGCATCACCAAGTCTAGTTGAAAAATAAATAATTATACAAACTTATTAATATGTATTGCCTAAATTTATTTGTTCCATCAAAATTTTTCAACCGTAGCTGTAGTTTATCAAAATTTCCTATGGGGGGGAATCAAAATTATGAATTTAGTAATAATCCAAGGTATGAAGCTGAATTATGAATGAACTCCATCTTGAACTAACAAAATAAGAAATTATTACACTAATCCAAAATACATTAAGAAACTAAGAAGTTCATAAACCAGTTTTAATGGCAGAAAGATTCTCGATATAATCTTAATAAACCGGCATTGCAGGCACAATTTACCATCAATTCAACATAGGAAAAAAAAACTAAAAAATTTAAAACTCCAACGGCTACGATTGTACCTCCAATTCACTCCGGAGCATTAACTGTGCCAGCCGCAGTATCAGCGTTAACAGTCTTCGCAGTAACCGCGCTTGCGCTCCTCTCATACTTCTTCCAACACTGATGCTTCCAACACTGGCACTGCGACCTCCTTCCCACACTTCCAATACTCACAACTCTCCCCAACCTCTCCTCCTCCCCCACCACCTCCTCATCCTCCTCCTCCTTCCTCACCTCCCCCCTCACCCTCCTCATCCACTCCTCCTTCATCCTCCTCTTCCCTTCACATTCCTTCTCCCCATGCTTCCCCTCACAGAACCCACACCTCACCTCCCTTCCTCTCCTCACCCCCCTCACCCCCTCCCAATCCATCGCAATTCTCACCGCTTCCTCCACCGTCTCCGGTTTCCTCCCCATCACCCAATCATGAAACTCCTCTCTCAACCCCTCCACAAACAACCCCCTCACCATAGATTCCGGCAACCCGTGCTCCGGCCACCGCTTCAGAATCCACTGCATTCGCAGGAAATAAGAGATAACGCTCTCGCCGTCGCGTTGCCCGAGAGAAACAAGCTCTGTTCGTGCTTTCTCGGCGAATTCCGGTGGGCGGAAGGCGTTCAGAAAAGCGGATTTTGTTTCCTCCCATGACATGGAAGGATGGGGTTCGACTGCGACTTCGTACCAGAGGGCGGCGTCGTCGAGGAGAGTGATGGGGAAGTTTCGTGAAATTAGGTTAAGTGAGGAGGGGTTGCTGGAGGGGAAGAGACGATTGAAGAGAGTGAGGTGGGAAATGGGGCATTCGCCGGGGAGGCCGTGGAAGATGGGGAGAGGGACGGCGATGGAGAGGAAGATGGGGGTAGTGGAAGGGGGAGAGGAGGAGGAGGAGGAGGGGGAGTTGGGGCGAAGGGAGGAGTAGGAATTGTATTGGGCGTCGGTGAGGTTGGTGGAGGTAGGGGAGTCGGGAGTTTGGGAATGTGGGGTAGTGGATGGAGGAGTGGGGGAGGGAGGAGAGGGGCGCCGGCAGCGCCGGCGTTGATGACGGCGGAAGCGGCGGGTGTCGGCAGATGAAGGGGAATCGGAGAGTTGGGGTGAATCGGAGCGGTTTGCAGAGGTGAGTTTCATGGCGGAATTAGGGTTAGGAGAGGACGGATGGCGGGAGGGCGGAGGGTTTAGAATTACGTTGCAAATGGGGTGTGTCCGTTGGGCGATAGGAAAACTGAATCGAGGCGTTTAAACATATATATAAATAAATATAGATCCCAAAAAAATTAAATTCTATCGGTGGCGGCTACAGCTATGGCCTGCAAAAGTTACCATGGCAGCCATTGCTCCGGCCTTCTCCGATCCGACGAAGGGATCGAAGAAAAACAAAGGATGCGCTGCCGCGATGATCGCCGCCTAAACCCTAAACGGTGGTCGGCTGAAAGTGTTGGAAAGGGAAGCGCGATGCTCCGGGATGGAGAAGATTGAGCTCGACATGAGGGATAAGGGTTGCAAGGGGAGGTACAATAGATACAGCTTCATGAGCGGTGAACTCCACGGCGTTGCTCTGGCTCCTAGGACTGCCGGCGGCTCTTCCGCCATTAACGATCGGGCTAGGACTCTTGTAGCTCTCAGAGCAAGGAAAATTGGTCTTCGCCTTCCTCTAAAGGCACTTGCAGCAAAATCAAAAGCCCTCGCAACCTGCGCTTCTGCTCTTATCCTCATCTCTTTTCTTCCCCTTCCCCTTCCCTCACCACCAATTTGTTGTGAAAGAAGGCGACAATAAAATGAGAAATTTGGAAAAATTGGAACCATAAAAATTACACGCAGAAAAAATATTAGAGCGACACACGTATTTGCGTGGTAGACAAATTTGTCTATGTCCACGGAGCTGCAGAGGATTTTATTTCTTCGAAAAATTACACCGTCGAGCGCTTCGACGTTTACAAGAAAATCTCTATTTTTTTCTCTCACTTTCTCTCTCTCTTCCTCTCTTTCTCTTAGCTCTCGAGATGACTTGACTTGGCTTGCATTTTCTTTAAACCAAAAAATACTATTTATATAAACTGAGCGGTAGGTGAGAGGTAGGTGAGTGGTAGGTGGGATGTGATAGGTGAGCGGTAGATGGGATGTGGTAGGTGGGATACTTAATTAAGGAGCTAATTAAATTGAATGGACCGGGTCTCCACGTTACCCAACACAATTAAGCCTCGATTTTCCGTTCGGAATGCTTCTAGTCGCAGTTGACAACCGCTGTGTCATGGTGTTCAAGATGTTTCTCTCTTTGTTGAGAATAAAGACCATTGAAGTTGGAGAAACTATTACATACGGAGCAGACTCTAGTAATATACCGTCATATGTGTTATATCAGGCCCACCTCTCGCGAAGATTATTGATGCGGAACCGTGAAGCTTATTGGGAGGGTAATTGTGGGCTATTGTAACATTAATTCTAATAACACTGCAACAACATCTCAATAATTTTTCAATAACCTCCGTTGTTACACTCTCAATAACCTCCCAATAAACTCTGCGGTTACACTTCGTAATAAACTCATAATAACACTAATAACTCTCCAATAATTTTTGTCTCCCGCATAAACCCCGCAATAGCCTCATAATAATACTCAATAACTCCTCAATAATCTTTATGGTTTCACTTCAATAATCTCCACGTGACAACATATTACTGAAAGTCCGCACCCAAAATTGTGTAAGTGCTTCGTATGGAATAATTTCTCTTGAATTTGTCCCCCTAAAATGATGTGCCTTGGCTTTAGAGATTCGGATCTCGAGGAGATTTGGCGTGAACAACGACCCCAAAAATTTTGCATGAACAGCAACACTGACGAAGGCCTTCAAGTCTAAATTTAATTTTTTGGGATCTTTATATGTAATAAATATAATTTGGGAAACTCTACATGTAAGTGCTCCCAAAAATATATTATTTATTTATTTTAATTAAATATAATTTGGGAAACTCTATATGTAAGAACACCCAAAAATATAATTTATTTATTTATTTAAAAAAAATGAGCCAGTTATTTGATAATTAAGATTTTTATATAATGTACATTATATGTATCTCAAAAAATAAATTATTTTTAAATTTTATCATGGTTAATTTTTTCAAACCATATCCTCCCCCATTTTTTTTTAAATTATTTAGAAGTTATTTTGTTGGAGAGAGTAAGAGACTTTAACTCATTTTATATACTAAAGTTCTGAATTATTTAAAAATTATATATATATATATATA